AGCCAGTCTATTCTACATAACAAAGATCTCACCCTTCAGCCCTAGGGTGATGGGATTAAGCTATGATAGCATTAACTCTTTACCCATCTCACCACAGGGCGCCTGGGAAGAAGCAATGCTCAACCAAACGTGGACTCAAAGCACAGCCTACAGAGTTGCCCCTGCATGACCCCATGGGACTCTGACAACCAATCAGAATACAAGATCAAGATCAAAGGCCAGAGAGGACATAAAACCAGGGACTTTTAGCATCTCCCCCTCTTCTTCTTCTTCACCCAACATCTGGAAGCATGTGATTCCCCCTTTTCTGTTCAGGAGCTCAAGCCATGTGATCCTGTCCACATTAAGCCATCTTTCCAAGCAGCCTCCATGTTTCCAGTGTCTTTTTCCTCACCTGGAACTGAGCATACCAGAGCAATTTCTCACCTTTGGCTTAGTGGCTGGATCAATAGGATAGTGACACACTTCACAAATCTCAGCGTCTATGGCCCAGTCATCATCATAGTCGAAACTGCAGCAGCAACCCATAATGTCTGCAAACACAAGAGAGGAGACAGAGTCATGAGCCCAGATTCAAAATCCCGAACGTCTAAGATCTTCAGCAAATTGCATGAAATTAGAAATAAAAATAAATAAATAAATAAATGCAAAATGAAATGAATTTGTAACAAAATATATTGCCCATCATTCATGATACTCCTGAAAAAAACTAATAGGCACTAGAAGCAGCAATACACCAATTACTTGACACCTCACTTGACACACCCATACCTGAAACCCTTATAAACAGAACACCGACACTGATATCTCCTAAACTCTGCTGAAGATGTTTCCTAGTAAGAATAGAATAGAATAGAATAGAATAGAATAGAATAGAATAGAGTAGAATAGAATAGAATTCTTTATTGGCTAAGTGTGATTGAACACACAAGGAATTTGTCTTTGGTGCAGAGGCTCTCAGTGTACATAAAAAGACAAGATACATTCGCCAAGAATCATAAGGTTCAGCACTTAATGATAGTCATAAGGGTACAAATAAGCAATCAGGAAACAATTAATATCAATATAAATTGTAAGGATACAAGCAACTAAGTTCCAGTCCTGCAGTCATAAGTGGGAGGAGGTGGGTGATAGGAACGATGAGAAGACTAATAGAATAGTAATGCAGCCTTAGTGAATAGTTTGACAGTAGTGAGAGAATTATTTGTTTAGCAGAGTGATGGTGTTCGGGGGAAAACTGTTCTTGTGTCTAGTTGTCTTGGTGTGCCTGGCTCTATAGAATCATTTTAGGGGTAAGAGTTGAAACAGTTTACATCCAGGATGTGAGGAGTCTGTAAATATTTTCATGGCCCTCTTTTTGACTCGTGCAGTGTACAGGTCCTCAAGGGAAGGCAGGTTGGCAGTAATTGTTTTTCTGCAGTTCTAATTATCCTCAGAAGTCTGTGTCTGTCTTGTTGGCTTGCAGAAGTCAAACCAGACAGTTATAGAGGCGCAGTTTGACAGATTCAATCATTTCTCTGTAGAAATGCATCAGCAGTTCTTTGGGCAGTTTGAGCTTCCTGGGTTGGCGCAGAAAGAACATTTTTGGTTGTGCTTTTTTATGATGTTTTTGATATTAGGAGTCCATTTTAGGTCCTGCGATATGATAGAACCTAGATATTTAAAGGTCTCTACTGTTGATACTGTGTTATCTAGTTCTCTAAGAGGTGGTAATATGGGAGGGTTTCTCCTAAAGTCTACCCCCATTTCTACGGTTTTGAGTGTGTTCAGTTTCAGATTGTTCCAGTCACACCATGAGGCTAGTTGTTCAACCTCCCATCTGTATGCAGATTCATCGTTGTCTCGAATGAGACCAATCACTGTTGTATCATCTGCAAACTTCAGTAGTTAGTAACGAAATGTTCTGAAATCTACCCACAAGCTTGGAGAACGAACCTTCACCCTTATCCTACACCAGAGCTACAGATATTCACAACTATTGCAATACAATCACTTGCCTAGAGCATGTCATATCATGGTGAGTACAGTAAGTTGGTGAAACAGGGGCAATACTTGGAAATCACATTTTCCTAGTATCAACCAATTCTGATATCCCTCAAGAGGTAGTACAAATAGTCCTCAACTTACAACCACAATTGGGCCCCAAATTTCAGTTGCTCAGTAAGACAGTTGCTTTATGACCTTACTTGCCAGAGTTGTTAAGTGAATCACTACAGTTGTTAAGGGAAACTGGCTTCCCCAATGACTTTGCTTGTCAGAAGGTCACAAAAGGGGAATCACAGCACCCTGGGACACTGCAGTCGTCATAAATATGAGTCAGTTGTGAAGCGTCCAGATTTTGATCACATGACCATGGGGATGCTGCAATAGTCGTAAATGTGAAAAACAACCATAAGTCGCTTTTTTCAGCACTGTTGTAAGTCGAGGACTACCTGTATAGCACTAATTATAGGAGGCTGGGAGTCACCAGCAGAAGGAACATTTTGCATTTTGCCATAGTTGGAAAAGTAATTTCTGAACAGGCACCATGCCATTTGAAGTCTGGAGTCTTCTTCCTCTTCTCTTTACAACCTTAATAATTTTTTTATATCAAGCAAGTATAAAATGCATTGCTTTATATTAAATTGTCAAGGTCTTCAAAGCAATAGGAGAGAATGAAATAAGCAAAATATAGAAAGGGCTTTAGAAATGTTTACAATATTAAGGAAGTAATCGGGTGATGTTTTCTACACAAGTTTGGAAAGTGATCTGGAGCTCTTTCTATCTTAAAAAAAAGAAAAGAAATGTTTACAACAAATGAAAAAGAAGAAAGTTGATAACCATCACCCACTTGCTACCAACTCCTCAGCAATTTGGAAGCTGCTGAGAAATTGGTAAAAGTCTGGCTAATTTTCAACTCCACCCCAAGTGATAGGAAGACCAGTAAACCTGTGTCCAAATATACCCTAACTGAAAGTTGGTGAGATATAGAGAATCAGGGAGTGCTCTCAATGTGCTATGCAAACTGCTTCCCACTTCAGCCCACACTCCTCTTTTGCCCCACCAACCTATCAGTTGGACTACTTTTGATCTCCTACCAGGAGATCAATAAACTCATATTTAGCCTGAGATAGAGATTGCTGGCAAGGAGCACCTGCACCTGCCCTCCATCCTAAGCCCCCAGCCACACTCATCCGAGCCTGATACATCACACTTCCAAAGTCATAATTGGTGGATGTCTCTCCTGTTAGTGATGCTCAGTGGGAAAATCTATCAAATGCTGCTCTAAAATTATCCCACGGTGAAGCTGAATGGACTGGCTGGATGAGTCGCATCCAATAATATAAGCTTTCTTGCTATGATTGTTATGCAAATCACCAGAGTTTTTGAGTGAATCAAATGGTTGTTAGCAAAACTGCATTCCGCCATTAACTTTGCTTGTCAAAAGCCATCTGCGAAGGTCCCAGATGGTGATCACATGACCAGGATGCTACAACCATTATATATATGCCAATTGCCCAGTGCCTGAATTTTGATCATGTGACCGTGGGAATGCTGTGATTGTCATAAGTGTGAGGACCAGTTGTATGTCACTTTTACAGGGCCATTGTAACTTTGGACAGTCACTATGTGAATTGTTGTAAGTACCTCCTTTCCCCAACAAATTGGCTGGATTTTGAAAGCAATTGAAGCTCAACACATTTAGAAGACACCTCCTAGTCTGTCTAACGTTTCATGTAATGTCTAAATTCATTTCCTTGAAGTCCTGAATGCTTCCTGTACCCCTTGGATTTCTCATATGTCTCTTTTGCTGTCCCTAAATTGCATTTATTGTTTTCCCATTAAGGTTTACATTATAAAATTCCTACAGATAAGTATTTATTTACTGAGCACTTATATTTTATGTTACAGATGGGCCTGTTTGCCAGGATCCTATCTTCTCTTGTGTTGATTGCAAGCTTGATGCCATAAGATGCCTTGAAAATTCAAGCCAAACAAAAGGTATAAGTTGAACAAAAGCCTGAATACTGTTAGCATCTCTCCCTCGTACACTTAACACACTTATCTCCTTAATTTAAAATAGAGAAAAAAAGATGGCAGTCTACGAAGATTCTTAGTCATCCAGGTGACAGTTGTCCCAAAGGTGCTTTCTTTCAAAAGGCAACTGGGCTTTCTTCTGCCTTTTGAAAGAAAGCACCTTTGGGACAAAGATTGCAGTCATGTCATCTTCTACTTCTTATTTACAAATCAGTTAATTATCATTAGTAGTTAAACTACTCGTTTAACTATAACTTCTAGCGAGTCAGTGTTAAATTGAATCCAACAAACAAAAAAGATACGTAAACAATAATAACATTCACTTACAGCCCAAACACTTATCCTCAAATGTCACCTACAACTCCCAGAGAAGGAAATGTTAGGAGAACATCTGTAGATAACCCCTTGGGAGAAAATTCCACCTAAAGAACCAAGGCTGGGGAATTCTGGGAGTTTAAGTCCACAAAGAGGCCATAGTTGCTGACAGAGTCTGACTGATACATCAGTCGGAAACTTGTCAGTTACCCTGCCCTGCGCTTGGGTCTGGAACTCAGCCTCCTCTCAGTTCTTCTCCATTACTTACTTTTAGTCGGGGTGGAAGAAACCAGTTTCTCCTTGGTTCCCACAATTTGAAAGGGAGGGAAAGGTCTTCCTCATCACACTACAGAGCTAATCCACATTAACTGTTTAGATAGAGACAGGACTGCAGATGAGAAGATCAAAGATTTCTTCACTTCTCTCTCCTTTCTCTCTCTCTTTCTCTCTTGCCACCTTTCCTGCTGATTTCCTGCCCTCTAAGATCTCTGCAGAGGCAGCACAAGAAATGTGTTTGTAGCACTTGTTTGACCACAAAAAGTTCTAAAGCAGTTCACAAACCCCAAAGGTTTCCTGCCAGCATCAACCCCCCCCCCCCGCCTTCTGAAGTTCTATAGCTGAATGTTGCAGCTGGCCCCCTATGGATCTCCTGAGCCACAAGGTGTGCAGCCTTATCATAAGACATACTGTACTATTGTGCCTTTTGAATTCTGGGAACCATTACACTGGGAAGAACACAGAGACAGTATGGATTCAAAGCAGAGGTGGGTTCCTACCGGTTCGGCCCGGTTTGGCCGAGAAGGTAGTAACTTGGCCGGACACGCACCCGAACTGGCTCTATGGCGGCGCCATTTTGATTTTATGTTCTGCGCATGCGCAGAACAATCTTTCTTGCAAAAATGTAATTTTTTCCTTTTCTAATGTTGTGCGCATGCGCAGATTTTTTTGGGTACAAATGCTCACACATTTTTTGTGTGCCGAACCAGCAGTAATGCCAGCAGCAACCCATCCCTGATTTAAAGGATGTTTCAGGAATGCTTCCAGACATTTATTTAAATGTCAGAGGAGCTCCATGCTCCAGATTGGGTCCAAAGGGATCTCATTGCTTTCTCTTGGCTTGATTTTCCTCACAAAGAATCACTAAAGAGCTAGTGGTTTTCCCTTCTGAACAGGAAAAACTGACTAGCCAGGAAACTGTTTAGAGGATTGCTTTTCTACTGCACCTGGAAAAATGAGACATGGTGACATTAACCTCAACAACGTTCTGATGATTGCGCTGCCCCCGCATTGATTTTTGGCCCCTCATCCTGACATTCCTACTAATTAAATTTCATTCAAATACTCTGAAACTTAAAGTCATGCCCAACACTTGGTGGCTGAATGATTCACAGGTTTGTTCTTTTATTTGAAAAGGGATAGTGTTTATGGATATTTTCTGGAACAAAATGCCTAGGGGGGGGGATTTTTTAGAAGGAGATGATGAATAAGGCCCACTTTTGTTTGTTTCACACAAAAATATATCACTGAAATAATTAGTTAGGAAGGGGAGGATAAATTGAAAATAAACTAGGGCACTGGGTTCTATGGTGGAGAGATGAGGACAGTGAGTAGACTGGAAAAAACAAGAATGGATCCAATGAAAACAGTATGGAGCTTTTCTGTCTTTCTCTTCAGGAAGGGAGGGAGGGAAGGATGGAGGAAGGGAAGGATGGAGGGGGGAGGGCGGCGGGAGGGAAGACGAAGGAAGGACAGAGGAAGGGAGAGAAAGACGGAAGGAGGCAGTGTTAGGACTATAATCTAATGGTTGGGTTGGCAATATATAAATCATGTAGCAATGTTGTACCTGTTTCTTTCAATCATACTGTAAAATGTGATTGGTTGCTGTTTTCCTCAATCGGCCATAAGAGGGAGCCAGAACAACTGTTAGCTCTCTGTTCGTTAGATGCTGGGCTGATCTGATCTGAGTGCCGTGAGCTATTGTAAGTTTTGCAACTGCTAGCAAACTTTGTGTACTGTTTGTATGTTTATGGACTATGTTAT